AGCCGCGGGGGAGCACTGGAGAGGAGAGGTTGCGAGGGGGGTTCGGGCACGAGGGCCCTCGCCGCTGAGTGTGTGGCGGCGCGAGGAAGATGGGGAGGGAATCGAGCGAGAGAGAGTGGGGGAACGAGGGGAGTGGGGGTGGTAGCGGTTTAGGGTTTGGTCGCGTGGGGGGATAAGGGGGACCGGGGTGGGCCGGCCTGGCGGTCCGTCGGCCTGCTGGGCCGAGGCCCAGATGGGGGGTTCCTTTTCCTTTTTTGTTTGTTTGTTTGTCTCTTTTGTATTTTCTTTCTTTCTTTTATTTTCTCTTCTGTTTTAATTCAATTTAAATCATTTATGCATTTTATAAAACTGTGTCTTCTACACCATAATGATCTATGTAATATTTAGTACAAACCGAACATTTTTATTTTAATTTTTGAAAACTTTTATTATTGACATTAATTTGAATTTGAATTTTGAAACGGTTTCGAATCATCGCAAGGTTAACAACAGTAACTGTGGTGATGTGGCAACATTAGCAGGGAATTACTGTAGTCTAATTATCCGGGCGTCACAGCCCCCGAGTGGGAGGATTGCTCTCCACTCGGAGTGTTTTTTAACTTAGGCGAATCAGGTTCGCGGCTAAGCCACCCACTAGGGGATTCGGACACAAATGATTATGGGAAATCAATCGTCAAGATACTATAAAAATCTTGTCTTTGGTAAGCAAACTGGAGTACTCTTATTACAACTCGTCGGGTCAAGTGATTTTAGGTATAGAAAGGGCGAAGCAGCTCTGCATTCCATGTGCGTGGCTCGTCCATATTCTTCGCTACGTTGAAGATGCGGTATGCTCCATTGTGAAGCATCTTGGTGATGATGAAGGGACCTTCCCAGGCCGGAGCAAGCTTGTGGGGCCGTTTCTGATCCACTCGGAGCACAAGGTCTCCTTCCTGGAATGCTCAACCTCTGACATTGCGGGCATGGAATCAACGCAGATCCTGCTGATAGATGGTCGACCGGATCAGAGTCATCTCACGTTCCTCTTCCAGGAGATCAACCGCGTCTTGGCGTGCCTGTTCAGCTTTAGCTTCAGAGAAGAGTTCCACCCGGCTCCCGCCTCGGCGCCGTACACCAAGAACAAAGGGGTTCGGTCAGTCGACCGGTTAGGCGTCGTTCTCAGCCCCCATAGGACGAATGGTAACTCAGTCAGCCAAGCTCCAGCAGCGTGTTTGAGGCCACGCATCAGTCGGGGGTTTAGCCCTTGAAGGATCAAACCATTCGCCCTTTCTGCATGCCCATTCGACTGCGGATGTGCAAAAGATGCGTAGTCGACCCGAGTGCCTTGGGAAGCACAAAACGCCTTGAACTCATCAGAACAAAATTGGAGCCGTTATCTGTGATAATACTGTGAGGGACTTCATATTTGAATATCAACTCCTTGATGAAACTGACGGTAGTGCTTGAGTCAAGGTTTTTGATGGGCTTGGCTTCGATCCACTTAGTGAACTTGTCGACTGCTACGAGCAAATGAGTGAAACCACTTTTGCCGGTATTGAAAGGTCCAACCATATCCAACCCCCAGACTGCAAACGGCCAGACGAGTGGAATAGTCTTCAAGGCAGACGCAGGCTTGTGAGACATGTTGGAGTAGAATTGGCAACCTGCAGACTTGTCGACTATATCTTTTGCCATCTCATTTGCACGAGGCCATTAGAATCCCGCTCGGTATGCTTTGGCCACAATGGTCCGAGAGGACGCATGGTGACCACAGGTCCCTGAGTGGATATCGTTTAGGATCATTCGGCCTTCTTCTAGGGCGATGCAGCGTTGAGCCACTCCTATGACACTTTCTCTGTAAAGTTGTCATTTTATCACGGTGAAAGCCTTCGATCGATGGACTATCTGGCGAGCCTCATCCTCATCCTCTGGGAGTTCCTGCCTGAGCGGGTACGCGATGTACGGCACCGTCCAATCGGGCATGATCACTAGGACTTCCATGATCAGGTCGACCACGGCTGGGACTTCGATCTCAGTCGGATTGGCTGAACTTATTGGTTGCGGGGGCTCTTCTTTGAAGGGATCTTCTCGTACTGACGGGGTGTGGAGATGCTCCAAAAACACGTTGCTGGAAATAGGCTTCCGAGTGGAACCTATCTTCGCCAGGTCGTCAGCAGCTTGATTCTTGATTCTGGGAATGTGGTGGAGCTCTAACCCCTCAAACTTCTTCTCTAGTTTTCTCACTGCATTGCAATAACCGGTCATTGTTGGACTCCTGACGTCCCATTCCTTCATTACTTGATTAACCACTAAGTCTGAGTCATCGTAGACCATCAAGCGCCGGACGCCGAGTGAGATGGCCATACGCAACCCATACAATAGAGCCTCATACTCAGCTTCATTGTTTGAAGAATCAAAGTGAATCTGGAGGACATAGCTGAGCTTGTCTCCTCTCGAGGACACTAAAACCACTCCTGCACCAGAGCCATTCAACATTTTGGACCCATCAAAGAACATAGTCCAATGTTCCGACTGAATCTGAGTCGGATGCTGTTGTTCAATCCACTCTGCGAGGAAGTCTGCTATAGCTTGGGACTTGATGGCTTTCTTTGCCTAAACTTGATATCTAAATGAAGGAGTTCAATCGCCCATTTTGCCACTCGACCAGTTGCATCACTATTATTCAGAAGTTTTGACAATGGGGCGTCGCTGACGACTGAAACTGAGCGGTCTGAGAAGTAGTGTGCAACTTTCTTCGTGGTTAGGTAAATCCCATAAACAAGCTTCTAATAATGAGGATATCTCTGCTTGGATGGGGTCAGGACTTCTGAAATGTAGTACACAGGGCGCTGAACTTTGAAGGCTTTGCCTTCTTCTTCCCACTCGACCGTGAGCACTGTGCTAACAACTTGTCCAGTGGCTGCAATGTAAAGCAATAAAGGTTCCTTGCTGACTGGAGCAGCGAGCACCGGCTGGGTGGAAAGCAGGGCTTTGAGCTCTTCAAACGCTGCTTCAGCTTCGTCATTCCACTCAAACTTGTTAGACTTCTTCATCAATCAGTAAAAAGGCAGTGCCTTTTCACTGAGGCATGAGATGAATCGACTCAATGCAACCAAACAACCAGTAAGCTTTTGAACATCGTGCACATGTACAGGGCGCTTCATTCGGAGGATTGTGCCAATCTTCTCTGGATTTGCGTCGATTACTCGTTCAGAAACAAGAAAACCGAGTAGCTTTCCGCCTGGGACTCCGAATGTGCATTTTGATGGATTGAGCTTGGTATTATATCTTCTTAAGTTGGCAAAGGTTTCAGCGAGGTCAATCGGCAGGTCGAAACCTTTGCGTGACTTAACCACTATGTTATCCATGTATGCTTCCACATTCCGACTGATTTGAGCAGGCACTTCTGAATCATGCGCATGAATGTGGCACCAGCATTCTTGAGGCCAAAGGGCATAGTAAAATACCAAAAACACCTTAAAACGAGGGAGACGGGTTAAAAACTTAAAAATGAGGACGCTCAACAAGTCAAGAACCACGATGTTTCCAGGAAACCACCCACTCCACTGATGACCCTGCAATGAAACCCTGAGAGCAACGGACAACTGCACAGTCTGCACTCCAGACTCCAGTACTACTACTACTCCGTACATATTAACTCCCATACCCTGAGCAAGCACTCGAAACATTCACCCAGCATACGAGAACCAGATGCAAAGCAAAATGCGATCTGCTTCAACACCCCTGCTCTACCTCTACCTTTGCCTCCTCGTCTTGCCGTCATGGCTCCTTCTCTTGCAACGAGCGCACGCAGCAGCGCGTCATGGTGGCATATCACTCATGTCTCAACAGAAGGCCCTCCTCCACTGGAAATCAACACTTGCAAACCCAGCAGCGGAGATGAGCTCCTGGCGGGACACCGCCAGCAGCAGCCCGTGCAACTGGACGGGGATCATGTGCATGGCCGTTCGCCATGGCCGCATCATGCCCTGGGTCGTGACCAGCATCTCCCTGCCAGATGCTGGCATCCATGGCAAGCTTGGTGAGCTCAACTTCACAGCTCTCCCATTCCTCACATATATCGATCTAGGCACAATAGTCTCCATGGTCCAATACCGCCTAATATCAGCTCGCTATCATCCCTCTCCACCCTTGACCTTAGCATCAATCAGCTCAGAGGCCACATACCACACGAGATCGGCCAACTGGCTAGCCTCACCATACTTGACATCTCCTTCAATAACCTAACAGGACATATCCCTGCGTCCCTAGGCAACCTGACAATGTTGATTTATCTTGTTATCCACCAAACCATGGTCTCAGGTCCCATTCCAAACGAGTTAGAAAGGCTTGTCAGCCTGCAGGGTTTACAGCTAAGCAACAGCGCCTTAAGTGGCAACATACCCGCAACTCTTGCAAACCTGACCCAGCTAAATGTTCTGTTATTGTATGGTAACAAACTGTCGGGGCCGATACCCCATGAGCTAGGCAAGCTAGTCGATCTGCAATTCCTTCAACTTGATGAAAATAAACTAACCGCTCAAATCCCTTTCTCCATATCCAATCTAACTATGTTAAATGAACTCTCTCTCGTCGAAAATCAAATCACAGGTTCCATCCCCGCTGAAATAGGAAGGCTAGTCATGTTAAACAAGCTTGATCTCTACCAAAATCAAATAACAGGAACAATACCTCCAGAAGTAGGCAACCTCACTAGGCTCAAGATACTTCGTGTCTATAAAAATTGACTAACGGGTTCTATACCCCCAGAACTAGGCATCCTAGTAAATCTCTCGAATTTGGACCTATCAGCCAACCAAATCGCTGGCTCTATTCCTGCCAACTTAGGAAACCTTACTAATTTATTAAGATTGTCCCTTTTTAGAAATCAGATAACAGGCTCTATCCCACAGGAAATTGGCAATTTGGTGAACCTCCAAACATTGTTCTTGGACGAGAATAAAATTTCTGGCTCAATACCCAAAACATTTGGAAACCTACAAAACATCCAACGTCTGAACATGAATGATAACAAATTAACAGGATCTCTTCCTCAGGGTTTTGGAGATCTCAAGAACATAGTCGGCCTTAATCTGGCTGATAACTCCCTTTCTGGACCTTTGCCTATGAATATATGTACCGGCGGCAGTCTCAGAGCTTTTGTAATGTCTCTGAATATGTTCAATGGCTCAGTTCCATGGAGCTTAAAGACCTGTACAAGTTTGACTGGACTTTACCTTGACGGAAACCAACTGACAGGAGATATATCTCACCATTTTGGAGTTTATCCACAACTTAGGCACATATGGTTGACGTCCAATAGACTCTCTGGGAGCATTGCACCAAAGTGGGGAGACTGCCCCCAACTAAAGGAATTCAAGCTAGGACAAAACATGATTACGGGTCAAATACCTCCCACCCTATCAAAATTATCCAATTTGGTAGACCTAACACTCGATTCTAACCACATAACTGGTTGGATTCCACCAGAGTTAGGACATTTGAAAAATCTTTATATCTTGAATCTGTCACTCAATCAGTTATCAGGCCCTGTACCTTTGCAGTTGGGGAAGTTGAGAAATTTAGGACACCTTGATTTATCTGAAAACAGTTTGAGTGGATCAATACCAGAGGAATTGGGAACCTGCATAGAACTATTGTTCTTGAAGATCAACACCAACAACTTCACTGGAAAATTGCCTGGTGCAATTGGAAATTTAGCAAGTCTACAGATGATGTTAGATGCCAGCAATAACAAACTTGAAGGTGTCTTGCCAAAAGATCTTGGAAAGTTGGAGATGCTGGAATTTCTTAATTTATCCCATAACCAGTTCAGTGGAAACATTCCATCCTCCTTCGCAAGCATGGTGAGCCTATCGACACCTGATGTGTCCTACAACGACTTGGAAGGACCACTCCCAATAGGACATGCACTTCAAAATGCTTCAATAAATTGGTTTCTTCACAATAAAGCTCTGTGCGGTAACTTCTCTGGACTGCTACCTTGTTACTCAACTCCAGCATCTGGTCGCCATAAACAAAAGATACAAAGTTTCCTCCTGCCAATTGTTCTTGTTGTGGGGTTTTCCACCATTGCTACAATTGCTATCATTGCAATTCTGATACGTAGCAAGAAAAAGAAACAACAAAGTGGTGCTACAGATGAGCGGAGGAACATGTTCTCTGTTTGGAATTTTGAAGGACGACTAGCATTTGATGATATTATCAGGGCAACAGAAAATTTTGATGACAAGTACATCCTTGGAGCAGGAGGACATGGAAAAGTCTACAAGGCACAACTCGAAGACGGGCAGCTAGTTGCTGTAAAGAAATTCCATCCAACAGAAGAAGAGTTGATTGATGAGAGAGGATTTCACAGTGAAATGGAAATCTTAACACAGATTCGACAAAGAAGTATTGTCAAACTCTATGGATTTTGCTCCCATCCAACGTACAAGTTTCTTGTCTATGATTACATTCAGCGTGGAAGTCTCCACACGACTTTACAAGATGAGGAATTAGCCAAGGGATTGAATTGGCATAAGAGAGCTGCCCTTATAAATGATGTTGCTCAGGCAATATCCTATTTGCACAATGACTGTAGTCCTCCTATAATTCATCGAGATATCACAAGCAACAACATCCTACTTGATACAAATTTTAAGGCTTATGTCTCAGATTTTGGTACAGCAAGGATTTTGAAGCCTGATACATCAAACTGGAGTGCACTAGCAGGGACATATGGCTACATTGCTCCTGGTACAGATATGCCTCCCTTTGACATAAAATTATTTCTATCTCTACCTTTATCCGCTTTTATGGTTCCATAGCTTCTTGTTTACACTTTCTTGTCCATTGACTTCTAATGC